CGTTCTTTTTTTTCCTTCTATATCTTTCCCTTCTGTTACAAAATCACAAGACTACTTCTTATCAAAATCTTCTTGCCAGTTTCCAAAAATACTGTCCAAGGTCATTCCACTCTGATCTGCTCCTTTATTCTCTTTAATTTCTTCTGTCACCACTAGATCGCACTGCAATTCACTTAATATAGTCTTAAAATGTCAATTTACTTTTCTTCTTTCAGCATTAAACTCCCAGCTGCAAAAATTTCAAATTTTCAAAATACGCATCATTAGCCAGAGAAGCCTCTTTTCCCAATCTGCTTCCAATTTCTTAAATTTGTTAAATTACTTTGCCCGCTTTTACTAATTAGTCCTTATTAATGGCTTCCACTTCTTTGCTGCTATTCCGGAAGTGGGAAGGTAGCTTTATTCTGCTCCCTCCCGTCTCCTCTTTGCCAGTTCTCTTTAATTTGGATACTTTTAAAGTTCAGGAGAAAAAAAATTTAAAGGAATCATGTTTAATTAATTTAATTTAATTTAATTAATTTAATTTAACAATTTTATTTAATTTAATAATTTAATTTAATAATTTAATTTAATAATTTAATTTAATTTAATTTAATTTAATTTAATAATTTAATTTAATTTAATTTAATTTAATTTAATTTAATTTAATTAATAAGCTGCCCCTCTCCGAAGACTCAGGGTGGCATATAATGTTTCCAAGACCTCACTCTCTCACCCAGATGATCACCTCACTCTTCTTCCTCATCTTGTTTGTGGTCACCCCGGCTTTTGACAGCTCCGATGGCTGCCTTCCCTCACTGCTGGGTCAGAGACTTATGCCAGCGCTTGTGTTGTGTGTAGGGAACTTGTGTTTTCCCTATCCATGCCAGCCTGTGCCTCCATTCTTCGCTGTCCCTACAGGACAGCTATGATCCTTGGAATCCGCACTGTACCGCCGCAATGCTGGCCACGCCACATTGTGTATTTGTGTGTGTGAGAGAGAGAGAGCACTTCACCGCCAGACCTCCAAGGTTGGATCAGCTCACTCTCCCTATCTCACTCTTCCTCCCCTCCCCAGCAGTGGCAGCTTCAGTGCCTGGCCAGTGGGGAGATTCTCACCCACCCATGCTCCTGGCATCGCAGGTGGAGCCGTGCTGCCTGTGCCCCTTCGCCTGCTGCCTCCTTTGGGCTGCTGAGTGCCAACCTGCACACCTACTCGGTGCTTCAGGCGCTGGGCTACAGCTACACTGAGCCCGGTGCTCTTCAGCCCTTGGTGGGCACTGCAACTCTCATTCCGGCAGAGCATGGGACAGCGGCAGATGAGGTGGCATGGCTCCACCAGTGGCCACTTGTGAAGGGGCCCTGGCAGACTGGTGGCTCTCAGGAGCTTTTCAATCTGAGATGATTCATTTGGCCAGGCAGGAACAGTTCTACAGCGCTGCCGACAGCAGCACTGCCAGGAGGGGGAAGTGACCAGCAGCAGCACGGGCAGCTGCTTGGCCATTTAAAGGCTTGTGGATTTCAACTTCCAGAATTTTCCACAGTCCCCCAATCAGCTCCTTCCTCTTTCTGGGTTGGGATAGCTCATGCTCACTAGGTCCATTGGGGTTGGAAGTTCGATTGCACCCCATCAGGGATCCTCCACCCTGGCGGACAGTTGTCTGCAAAAGCTGAAATGGGCAGCCGGAGGAGGGGAAGGGAAGAAGGGAATGAGAAAGCACGGACCTTTCTCAGCACAAAGCTTCACAGAAAGCAAATCAAACCGTGATGGGGGGGGGGATTTTCCTGTGAGTACGGTGTTAAAAGTTAACATTTCAGAAATGTTACCTGCAAAGGTCTCCTGGTGCAACACTCTGCTACAGCTTTAGAGCATACCTCCGCCTTCCCTGCATAGGATTGCAAGGCTGGAGGCTTCACCTTGCTCTGATCAGCCCCCCCCCATTTCCTTGCCAATCATTCTATCTTTGGGGAGCTCTGCATAGACGCACATCCCAAAAATGCTCCCTCCGAAGCCTTCAGCCTGTAAGGATTGCCTCTCCTTCCAACTTAAGAAAGTAAAAACTCTTGAAATGTAGTACTTCAAAAGGAACCTTTTATTAAGCAGAAATGACAGCAATGGATTCAAAGCAACGTCTGAATACCCTTAGGCAAGACAAGTAGGATTAAAGCAGTACAGACCCCTTCCTTAAGCCAGAATGCAGATTTTAGTCAATACATAAGTGTGAAGATATTTTCTTTACCAGAGAAAGCCCTGAGAACCAGATAAATATGTATTCACATCATTATCCTCCATTATCCTTTAAAGTGAAACAGACCATATGGCTGTCATAAACATTCCTCAATGTTAAGAAGATCTCAGAGTGCTTTGGCGCCAGGATATAGGTTGTAAAATATCTGTTGACACAGGCAATGCTAGTAAATCGAATCCAAGTCTCCCCCTTCTCCCAATTGAATGGCAGTATCACTTTTAGGGATTTGACACAGCCTTTCAATCCTGTGCAGGGAAGTTGGAGGTATGTTCCGAAGGTGCGACAGAGCATTGCACTGGGAGGCCTCCATAGATAGACAGAATGAGAAGCAGCTCCTGGCCCTTGCTGGCTCAGCTGAACTGTGGGCCATGATTAAGGGGCCAAGCCTCCATGAGGTGACCGGGGAAGGACTTCCTCCTGTGCTCGCCATGCCCCCTTCACTAGGGCTTATTTTGGGGGTAGGGCTTATATTACGCCCATCCCCAAAAAACCCAGTCTAGGGCTTATTTTTGGGGTAGGTCGTATTTTCGGGGAAACACGGTAGTTGATGCAGTCTAACAGCATCTATTTGAAAACAAGCTCCTTCCATCTTAGCAGAAAGAACACTGCCCAAATAACAAGAGAATGAAAGATCAATTCCAAATTGACAAGATTATTTTGAAAAACTTCAAGAGAAGGAAGAACAACTTGAATGTATATTGATTACAATTGATTACAAGAAGGATTGATTACAAGAAGGCAATTGGCACTGTGCCACATGAATAGATAATCAGGTGCTTAGAAATAATAGGAGTCAGTAGAAATATGAGGTTCAATTGCAAATGGTTCAAAGATCACTGGCACAATGGAAGACATAGTTGTTGTTCAGCGTTGATAGACAATAGATAGAGAGTTAATATCAAGAGAGAATCAAGGAGGCTTACTTTCACGATTGCTGTTGCTGCTGATTATACTCATTCCTTTATCAACACAACAGGTAATCCTCAATTTATAACCATAGTTGAGTCCAAAATTTCCACTGCTAAGCAAGAAAGTTATTAAGTCAGTTTGTCTCATTTATGACCCCTTCTGGCCACACTTGTTAAGGGAATCATTGCAGTTAAGTTAGTAACATGGTTATTAAATTAATCTGGCTTCCCCATTAATTTTTCTAGTCAGAAGGTTACAAAAGATGATCACTTGACCCTGGGACACTGCAACCATCATAAATACATCCCAGTTGCCAAGCATCCTAATTTTGATCAGATGACCATGGGGATGCTGCAACAGTCATAAGTGTGAAAAATGGTCATAAGTCATTTTTTTCAATGCTTTTGTAACTTTGAACTTATAAATGTTTACTAACCAATTTTGTTGTATACATGATGTACAATGACAATAAAGGCTATACTACTAAGTTGAGGACTACATGTATAATCAATTCAGGTTACACCTATCAAGCATCAAAAACATCTACCAGGTTATCCCATCTCCTTTACATGAAAGATCAAAACACATCTGATATAGAATCACTGCTCAACACTGGCCCCACAAAGGCAAAAAACATCCTGATACGTCACATACGGCCTGACACGTCATGATACAGCCCGCAATGCAATCGGGTTTGACATTCCTGACCTAGTTAGATGCTGCAAGAAGTTTGCATAGACTGACTACAAGCAATGCCACGACAAAGTAGCAACAATGATACACTTGAATACCATTTGCTTACAAGAAATAATTCAGATTTCCACAAAAAAGACAAAGTATCTTTAGAAAATGAAGAAGCTAAAGTGCTCTGGGACTTTAGAATCCAAACAAACAAGCGCTTGCCGCAAAATACCCCATAGTTAAAACTGTTGAAAAGTCTGGATAGTGGACATGATGATACCTGGAGACAGCAGAACAGAAGACATCTGGAGAAAATCACAAACACAGAGACCTGCAAATCTCTATAGAAGAAGTAGAACAAATATGGCAAAATAAATATCAAAACAATTGGAGCACAAATTGAACAACATCAGCATTGACCACACCAGTCAATTGCAAAAGACAACTTTATTAGGAATAGCTTACCATCCTACAATGATACCTTTAACATCAACAAACAACATCTACTTATTACAAGTTCTTGAGAAGGAGTCAATAGATAAAAATGCTGACTGCGCAGTGAACCATAATAATGATAATACAATACAGCTATTCTGGTTCAGTTACTTAATGTCTAGAAGCTATTTTGTAAAAAATAGTTGTCCACGTATAAAAGATTTTTCTACTGATGTAATTGTTTGAGTTTTTTTAAAATAATATTGCAGAGTTTGACTAGTGGCTCATTGATTAACTTTTTTATACATATAGTACTTTGTTTGCTATTATAATTTACTTACTTTCCTTTGCAAAAAATATTTTTCTAGGGCGAATTATTACCATTATTTGAGACAATCCTTTTTTTCAAAAAGAAGATATGAATTAAGATAACGCTACATAGGTGTTAGAGATCTCTGTCATAATACTTTTTTTCCAAGAATGTCTGTAAATTTTAATATTGAAAAACATCTAGATTCATTTATTTATATGTAATATATGTTTTGGTGCAGATATTGTAGCAGCATCTAGAAATGCTAAATATTCATATATAGAAATATCATTTCTAAATAATGACAGGATTTTTCAAAAATCAAAAATTGATTCCTTCCACCCTACCTTCTTGTATATATTGCAGGGGTGGGAGAGAAAAGAGAGAGAGACTGAGAGAATAATGTGTTCTCACCCCATTTAAAATTGTCTCAATAGGATTCCTTAGCTGCGGAAATTGAAGGATCAATGCGAAAAGAGCTGCATCTGGATGATACTGACTGCTCAGATTCAAAGTATGACCAATATATTGTAATACTTCGTAGAAAAGCTGTATTTAACACTAATAATCAGTAACCTTTGTGTATATGTAAAAATATTTAGTGATCCACAATCCACTTTAGTGATCTTTTAAGAATGTCCATTCTTTATTTAAATTATTAAATAAGAAAATGTTGGGAACATTGGAGTATTTATAGGGTATTGCAAGTAGACAGTAGCTTTTTATTTAAAGAGGGAAGATACGATACTTCTCTATTAAAATATAAAAATAACCTTTTTGAGAATAACAAATTTTGAAATGTATCAGGAAAATATCATTAAAATAATAAGAGCATTTCTCTACTTTCTGCAGTGAAAAAAAAATTCTCCCTCCATCTCACCAGATGTTTTGCATGGCAGATGTTGGTAGGCAAATGTCCTTCAGAAATTCTAGACTACAACTCTTAGTTTACTGAAATATTAGGGCTACTGAGAGTTGTGGTCTAAAACATTTGGAGTCATCAGATACCTATCTACACCATTTTAACTTGGTGCATTGCTAGATGTGGTAAAACGGGATTAATATGTGTTCCATAGCTTGAGCTTACCTGAACAAGTTTGCAGTAATAAGTTCTTTGACGTTCGGTCAACTTACGTGAAATTAAACAAGTGTGGGTTTGAGTTTGAGTCTTGCCTGAAATTGGAACCATCTGGAAATCTTCCATCTGGAAATTGGAATCATCCGTTATTTCAACCTCTGAAAGAAAGGCAGTATATATGTGGAAGAAATCAAATCAACAATAAAATAATGACAGCTGATAGCCAGAATATGGGGGTCAGATATAAATAGTTCAGTATGTTAATCTATGTGGCAGCTTAACATGATTATTAGATTTTTTCCATTCAATCATATTAATCTATATTCTAGCATAATAATTATGAAAGATCTAACATAGTTACATAAATTTCCTGATCCTTATCCATTAACTATTGTTAAACTATATTTAAGTGACAATTGTAACTTAAATTCTCACAAATCAGTCCTCTTAATTTTGTCCAAAGCCAATAAGAATTACCATATTGTCAGTCATTTTAATATTTTTAGTATAAACTTGTTTACTGAACTTGTAATACTTTGTTTTAGGACAGCTATTCAGATGACATAACTATTTCTGCGAAATGGGGAAAATATATTAATACCATATTTTATTATGCTCCTCTAACCAGACTTATTTTGCAGAAGTGTGGCATCCCATGTTCAGTAACAGGAACTTCGGATTCAGTTCTTGTTTTCTGTTGGGAGAGAACATTTGAGTCTGAAAACTATTGCTAGTCAAGTTGGGATATAATCTAGGCAAATAAACAGGTCAATTATATTAAAAATAGGCAGCATTTATGAAGAAGATACGGCTATATGCCGCTTCCCTTTTCCATACATATAAATAATTTTTAATTATAAATGAACTTTAATTTAAAATTAAAGAATTTAATTATTTAATTATAAAGAATCATAATTTTTTTTCTTCAGTGTTAAGATATAACATTCCTATTCTTCTCTAAGAGTGTTTTTAAAATATAAAAGCATTATTGAAGGAGTGCCTGCGGATTTTTCTCCACTAGTCGTTGCCGATTATAGGGGGCAGTGCTCATCTCCGTTTCAAGGCCCATGAACCAGCTCTGTCCAAAGACATTTCTGCTGTGATGTGACCAATATGACTTAAAAAAGCATAATTAATTATGATAAAATATAATTGCAGAAAATTTAAACCAGACTGTCATAATATGCTGCCCTTCAGTTATATATAGAAATTCATGGAATTAGCTGATGAAGGCTTGTTTACATATTTACTGTAATGTGGTTTATACATTATTTGGAAGAATACTAACTATATGTGTTTTTGTCAGTCATCACAAGAGAGTGTTTGACACTGTACGAAACATCAATCAGGTAGTAAAGCAGAGATCCCTAACTCCATCTCCAATGAACATCCCAGGATCTAACCAGTCTTCCACAATGAATTCAATCATTTCTAGCTGTGTCAGCACACCACGATCCAGTTTCTATGGAGGAGACGTTTCCAATATTGAGCTGGATAATAAGATGAATAGTATCATCCTAGAAACTGAATCCACTGACTCTAGGTTAGTAATGCATGGCTAATTTTTAAGTGTATCCTCTTATGAAAAACCGTTTTGTCCTAATGATTTTCTTCCATTTTCTTCACCTTCTGCTATTATACGGTATTCATTGGTTAGATCAGTTCACTAGACAATATTATCTCTATATTTAGAAGAAATTAAATTTAATTCAAGCTGTTTTTATCTTTTTTCATATAGTTGTAATTTAAGATTAATTATGTTTATTTTAAATTATCAGATACTTAAAAAATGTAGACCTATTTTCTTCCTTAACTATATTTGTCTTACAGATCATATGAGTAATGTATTCCAAGCAAATTATTCTATTTGCTGATATGAAATTAACTTTGAGTAATTAAATTTTAATTTCATTCAAGTAATCGATTTATAATTAACAATCACACTGCATTTTCCTAGCATGATGATTGTTTGAATCAGTTTGTGGATTTGGAATTTTTCTGAGCCATTAAACTATAACTCCCATAGTGATTTCAATATCAATTAAACAAAGCATCATATTTGAAGTACTGCTTAATTAATTAATCAAGAAACTAACAGGCAGTAGGGAGAAAGCAGAGCTGTTTAACTTATTCTGGAAACTGATAAAAAAGAGAAGCAACCTGGAAATAAAGGAGAAACTTCCCAACAGTAAAGACAATTAACCAGTGGAACAGCTTGCTTTCAGAAATCGTGGGCACTCCATCACTGGAGGTTTTTAAGAAGAGACTGGACAGTCACTTGTCTGAGATTGTATAGGTTCTCCTGCTTGAGCAGGGGGCTAGACTAGAAGACCTCCAAGGTCCCTTCCAGTTCTATTCTATTCTAAATTCTAAAATTAATCTGACATATGCAGTATTCAAACTGATTTTTTTTCCTAAAGAAAATATGACCACATTTTTCTAAATAAATACCATCATATTTTAATTAAAATAGGTGCTGTTGGGTTGATAATTTCTTTTTCACTAATTATTGTACTATATAAGCTCTCATTATTTCTGTTATTAGGGAGAATTAAGGGAAAAAACATTATTGGTGATACTGAAGATTACAGAAAATAATAACTTACTATTTATGGTTGTAGTGCAGACCTGCACAAATCATCAGGGGAAAGGGCCACAATGATAATTTAAAAATCCTCAGGGACTGCAGATACTAGAAGTATGTGCCAGTCAGCTGTTTGGCTAGCAGAGTGGCAGAAGCGCTGTAGCTGGCAGCAGTAGCTCAAAATTTGCTACTCTTTTAAAAATATGGGCATAAGTCTGCTTGGAGGGCTATATATTGTATATACAATACTGCATTTATTAAAGCTATCTATATTTATTAAATCAGCTATATTTCTGTTCCATGGTGCATAGTAGTTTTTTTCTTTAAATTAGCAGCATGTGTATAATACATTAGCCAGTGAGATAAAGAACATTCCTATTTGCATCTGTACCCCTACTAAACTATCTAGTTATTTCTCAGATTGAAAGTGTATATTCTATTGATTGAACTGAAATTTTTAAATAAATATATATATATTTTCTTACTTTCTTATTGTCGCCTATATTAATGTGTGATTGCTCTTTGTTTTAGAGATGAAGAGAAGAACAAGAAACCAGGAACACCAGGAACACCGGGTTCTTGTGACCTGGAAAAAGCCCTTCGAAGGTTGTCCCTTCGGAGGGAGAATTATCTGTCAGAAAGGAGGTTTTTTGAAGAAGAACAGGAAAGAAAGTTGAGAGAATTAGCAGAGAAGGGGGAACTTCATAGTGGTTCCATTACTCCAACAGAGAGTATTATGTCATTTAGAACACACTCTGGGTTTTCTGAATTTACTGGCTATTCAGGAATATCTATCAGCAGTCGTTCATACCTCCCAGAGAAGCTTCAGATTGTGAAGCCCTTAGAAGGTGATAATAAAGTTCCTTGGCATTTATCTGTTCTCCTTTGTGACTATTTGTGGTCTCTTCTCCATCAGCAGGAAAGAGAAAATTTTTGTAATATATGCTCATTTTACTTTAGAGGTAACTGTCCTCGTTGTTGGTTTGAACTCTTCTGAGGACAGGAATTACCTTTTTTTAAAAAGTAACATGCTATGTTTCTAATATATTCAGAAGAATATTTATAGTTTTTAGGGATTCATCTTGAATTCCTGTATTAATTTAGATATTCCTCTGTCATTCAAACAGTGAGGAATTGTAAATCTAAGTTTCATTGACATGAAGAACAATTATATGGTTACAATGCATTGAATTTCAACATTATAGGACTATTGACTTTCATGCACTTCTGTGCAAACTAAACACTTGCTACATTGCAGTGTTACAGTCTGAAAGTGGTCCTTAATTTGTTGCAACAAATTCAAGGTAGCATTCACTTCAAAAGCTCAAGTTGCTTTGCTTTGATCTGGCAGGCCACTTGCTTCACCAGAAATAGGCTTCCATGAAGCCCACATACAGACCCTCCTTTTAGTATTAGGATGTCATTTCAAATGGGTGCTTTTCTTTCATCATCTGAATAAAAAAAATCTGCAGCCAGATTACTCTATACTCCAGTAATATCTACTTATATTATTCCAAAGCAGCATACAGCATTTCATTTATTAAAATGTAGGATTATGATAACATACATTCTTTTTCAAAAAAATCGACCCATGCATAAAAAATGTTGCAATAAATGTCACTCAAATGCTTAATTTTGGGTTTTGGGTTACATTTTTGGAGTTTATAATATGAATCTAACAAATCCACTTTTTCTTTTTATCTGTAATCTATTTTAATTTTTTGGAATTTGCATCAGAATTGGAACTGATGCACAACTGAACCAATATACATTTTTAGCATTTTGGCTTTTGCAAAGTGCTTATTAAACAAATTAAAATATTTTAGAGAAGAGATAGATAATCAACTTTCATCTATTGATTATTAGTATTGTATAGGTTTCTGTCATCCAGTTTGTTTTCTTCAATAAACTTTCAGTCTCCATTTTCTCTGTTTCTCCTGATTTAACTTTTTTTTTGTGTATGAAACTTTTTCTTCTTGCATTTTTTGTTAGTGATCATCTTTAAAATTTTACCATATATCTCTTATGCAGGAGATAATTTTCAGAATCCTTATATTTTTTTAAAAGAATGATTTATTTAAATAATTGTTTATGAAATTTGGAAACCAACTTGGGGAATAGATACAGTACATGTATTTCTATCTGCTATCTAGCTATTCTCTATTTTTCACTTTGCCTATTTTGTTAAAATATATAATTCAAATGCACATAATTTCATTACAGCATTTTATTAAATCATTTCCAATTATAGATTAGTAATAGCAGTTAATTTATATATTATTTATTATTATATTATTTAATTTATAATGGAAATTAATTTATTTATTACATATTAAGAATAAAATAGAGGAGAGAGGAGAGGAGAGGGATAATACACACACAGGGATACACACACACACACACACACACACACACACACACACAAAACGTATGTCTAGATTATCCAGAGAAACATATCCTTTCCTGTCATATCCTGTCCTGTCCTGTCCTCTCCTAGCTTTCATTTTAGGTTTATATCTCTGCATAATGGGTCCTGGTGCATGTATGGTAGACCTCTGCTTCTGTGGATCTGGTGCTTAGTGCCTGTTTTTGTGCTGCTATGATCAATGCCTCAGTGTTGTCTTTTAGTCTGGAGTGACAAAAGGCAAGCTACTAATTTTTTTTGTTTTTGGTAAAATCAGAATGGGAGATAGGTCCAATCCATAAGAATATTCCATATTATTCTTGGTTTAGTAGCTAAGGCACAGGATTACTCTTGGTCTAGTGGTCAAACCAGGATCCTGGGAGTTTTAATTCTCCCTTAGGCATGAAATGACCTCGTTGACTTTGGGCAATCTCTCTCAGCCCCATCCACCCACCTTTTTGTGGGAAAAATAGATGGAGGAAGGAATATTAGGTATGTTCACTGCCTTGAGTTATTTATATAAAAAAATAAGAGTGGAATATTTTTTAAAAGGGTAAAACTCACATTTTTATTTTATTGTTTAATTGCTAGAAAGGATGCTCTTCTCCCTTCTGTCCGTTTTATCTAGCTAAATTAGCTTAGAAGTTGAGGGATAGAACTTTTCAATGTCCTTTCTCATCCCCTTTCCTGTCTATATTAAAATGGCAGAAATATCACTGAGTTTTTTAAACTCAGTTCAATTTTTTAAAAATTTAACCCAAGCCCATGTTTTTTGGAAAGACAATTAGTCATTATCTTTCTATGTAGGGTTAATAATCATTTTTATTACATTGAAGTAAATTGGATTTATTTCTTAGTCAACATATCAGAATCATTGATTGAGATGATCATCATAGTAATTGAACATGCAAACAAATAAAGGATACATTGTGAATTTGGTCTGGGGGAGAAGTGTATGCCTTAAAGCAGTCTAGCCTCCTGATGATTGCCTGGACAAATCCCTGCAGGTTTTTTTGGCAAGATTTCAAAGTAGATTATTGTTCCCTGCTTCCTAGAGCTGAGAGAGAGTGATTGGACCAAGTTTGTGGTTTGTGGAACTCACTATCCCCTAGTTTCTAGTACCTTAATTAGTACACCAAACTGAATTATCTTAATCAGAATTATGCCTTCTCAAAAACACTACTGCTATTTTGTCTCTAGTAACAAAAATGATATAAAACAATGTTTGATACTTGCAAACTGAAGCTACATTTTTATTTCCCACTATGATTATTTCTTGCAGAACAGTTGGTTTGAAGCAGTTGTGATGCTTCATCAGCAATTAAGATGTAACTATATATAATGAGGATTATAGGCAGTCTGTCCATAATTCAAATTTCCAAACTGACCTGTTTGTTCTATTGTTTTCCAAGGTTCTGCCACACTGCATCATTGGCAACAACTTGCTCAGCCTCATCTAGGAGGCATCCTAGACCCAAGGCCTGGGGTTGTTACTAAGGGCTTCTGCACTCTTGATCTTGATCTGGATGAAGTGTATTGCCTTAATGATTTTGAAGAAGATGAGTCAGGTGAAATTACATACAAAGGCTTAACTACCTCAACACCGATTCAGCACACAGAGACCTCAGGTGAGAGGTCTCAGGCATGAGTGACTGTTTCAGACAGCAAGAATTACCCAAATCGCTCTCGGGCTTTCCCAAAGGAGATGCAGGAACCTGCAACTGACGATGAGGGATCTGGTGAGGGAAGTCCAGCACAACTGCCATGTTTGCAGGATATTGATAATTGGGCCATTCTTACATCTCTCCAGAGCATCATCAATAATGTTGCTTCATGTTTAACTTCACAACAGTGCACACAAGAATTAACATTAGCCAGTTTCTGAAATGTGATTTCTATTACTGGAGGGGGTGAGGGTTCAACCCAAAAGAAGTGCATAATCCCTATTTTCTTCTTCCGTTTGATGAGAGAAGGCTGTTAAAAGGATGCAATTCATTGGGGTTCTCAGAAAAAAGAAACCAGTTCTTTTGGTTCTGGGTTTGTAATATATTTTTTATTTTATTTTTAAAAAAAGTATACATTTATATTGTGTGTGAACAGAGTTGGTTCTGGGTATCATTCATATTAATCCAATTCACAATAACAGTGTTGGTAGCCTCTATCACATTTGTCAAATTTAAGTAATCCTCATTATATTGTTCAAACATACATATTCAAAATATGCCTAACTCCTCATCTTTATCTCTATCTTCATCTATATCTTTCTTGTTCTATCTAAACATTTCTCTATTATATATGAACAAATTTAATGAGGTTTCATTTATATTTATCCAATTCATGCTAACGTTGTTAATAATCTCTAGCACATTTATCAAATTTATATAATCATCATATTATTTATACATATCCTCTTTAGTACTTCAATTCTTATCCATTTTTTCATATTAATCCAATTCACAATAAAAGTATGAACAAATTTAACTAAATATCATTCATGTTGATCCAATTCACATTATTAATTATCTCTATCACATTAATCAGATTTATATAATCCCATTACATTGTTTAAATATACATTAGAAAAATATATATCTGTAAACTTCTAACCTATTATTTTTGTTCATTCTATAAACAATTTATGTTTTAATATTTCCCCTAATTTTATTTCTGCCTCTCTAGCTTATAATAGGCTACTTTAATATTTAAAGGGGAATTTTTTTTACCCATCATCTCTTCTCTTTTTTAGTGCTTCAATTCTTATCCATTTTTTAATTCAGCTCCCACACTCCTCATTTTTATCTCTATTTTCATCTATCCCTTTTTTGTTCACTCTAAACATTTCTCCCAGTAGAATCTTGTACTGCCAATTCTCCCAATTATCTGTCCTTATCCTAATCACCTTATCAAAAGTATCTTCCTGCCTCTCCAATTGTTGATTTATCTGTTTTATTTTCTTCAGTATTTCTTCCTTTATCAGCTGATTTGTCAGTCCCCTTTTTTTTGCTCCAGTCCTTGGTTTATTTGTTGATGTGGCCAATCCTTCTCTTCTTTTCGCTCCTTTTGCTTGTCCTTTATCTGGTTTTCCTCTTCATCAAGCTGTTGCTTTATTTGCTGATTTTTCTGATCCGTATTTTTTCCCAGTTCGTGTTCTATTTGTTGACTTAAGTGATCCATTTCATCCAATCTTTCTGTTGCTTCCACCAGTTCATGTACATATTGATCTTTGTTTCTCATTCTTTGCAAAGCTCCGCTGTCTGATCCATACCATCAATTAAGTTCAAAATATTTTGGAACACTAAGGCCATCTCGTTAAGAAATTCTCTCATTTCCAGAGCTGTTCCTTCAACTCCAGCCATAATGACAATAAAAGTAAGGTAAACAATCATGCCTCAATAGAATCCAGTGTTCAGAGAGTCCAAGATCCTGGGAGTATGTTTTAATAAATAAGACTCTCCTCTCCAATTCCCACACTGCCTTCTTTCCAGCAGATATTTATTTCACTCAATCTCCATTTCTTTCTAAACAAAATCAGTTATCCAGATGGGTCAATCCCAGCATTTACTCAGTACTCTGTTAGTTCAAAATATTTTCCAAATTCTTTAAGTCTACTCTGTATTTTTAGTCTTTTATTCTAGCTTCCCAGGATCCCTGCAAGTTTCCAGGAGTCTAGGAGTCATTTTTGCTTCCATCAGTAGATGGTGCTCTCAACTTACTTTTCAACATAAACCTCTATTTAAAAAAAATATTTTCCGCCACTTGCAAAGTTATATTTAGTCTCTTCTCTAAGATTTTATCTTATCCTTGGGATAACTTTTTTTAAAAAAAGAATCATCTCACCCAGCAACACAGTCTCTGTTCACTGCTCTCTTTGCTCCTGCACTGTCTTGGGTATTCTGACTGGACCTTGCTTCATGGCAGCCAGAAAAGCCAGTTCTTTTGGTTCTGGGTTTGCACAAATAGGTTACAGTTTTGCAGATTGCCATTCTTTTGGGATTTGTGTTGTAATGCTTATATTTAATGTTTATCTAAAGACAAAGTAATTGAGAGTGGATGGCAGAATTTCAGCATTATCTGTAATAAGAGTTCCTTGAAATCAACCATTTTGATTCTTAGGATAAAATTATATACTAGCTTAAATGGTGTAAGTTTTCAAAGACTATATTTGATAACTGGAGGGGAAACTGATCAACATCCAAGTCATTTGGACCACCGAAGAGCAAAAAGGTATAAACTGCTAAGGCTTCATATGTCAGTTCTTTCCTGCTAATTTGTTGCCTTAATTTTACCAAATGTAGCAAATGAAAAGGCAGCATAGCTGAACACCTGGGGTTTTCCCCCAAATCTTTGCATATTGATGACAAAAAATGAATTCTAAAGACACAGAGCTCGAATGTATATATTGTTTTTAAGCTTTCTCAAATGAGCTTTCTAGAAGTAGTTATTTCCCAATGTCTCAATATTTTGAGGGCATTGAAATTCAGCACTTCAATATAATTTACAATAGTACATAACATCGTCATAAACTTATCTCCATAGTAACATCCTGGACTATTCCACAGCCACTGAGAAAGGCGTTCAGGTAAGACAACGCCCATTTTCTTATATCTCCTCCTTCCTAACTTCTGTTTCTGTTCTCTAGCCATTGATAAAATGCTTCCCACGTCTGAAAATATTCAGTATCTTCTCTGTCCTTAATGATAAGCGTTAATCTGTACATTTCTGCGCATTCCATTATTTTCTGAATTACCCTCTCATCTGACAGGATCTCCTTACTCTTCCATTGTTGCGCAAATACAATCCTATCTGCAGTCAGTACATGTAAAATCAAATATGTAGTCTTTTTGTCATATTTTTCTGGTAGGATGCCCAATAAAAATGTCTCTGGTCTCAGTTCAGTATGTTTCTTATCCTGGGGAGATCAGACTGTTCCAAATATTGTTGTATTTTGTTTTCCACAATTTCCTCATTATATAGTTTCTCATAGTATAATAGCTTTTTTTCTCCTCATTTTGATAATGAAGTGTGCCTTTCTCAGCGCTTAGACAATGTATCAGGTTTTTTCCCCTCTCTTTTTTCAATTTATAGGCCAACCATCTACCAGGTTTGTTTGCATTCTCAAAAAAGTTTTGTTTTGCACTTTTAATTTTGAGTGCCAATTCTTCTTTCTCCAATAAATTCATTTTATGCTTTATTATATCTATTCAATTTTTCAATTCCTTTTTTTGTGGTTCTCGTTGTAGTTGTAGTTCCAATCTTTTACATTCTTCTTCTAAGATATTTTTATTTTGTTTCTTCTTATTATTTTTCTTTCCCATGTATATTATAGCTAGTCCCCGCGTGAATGCCTTAACAATATTCCATACAATTTGTAAATAAATTTCTTCCTTCCTATTTTCTTTTTTTAAAAAATCCATTTCTTTTTCTGTCTTTTGTATAAATTCTTTTTCATGCAATATTGCTTGGTTCAATGTCCATCTCCATTTTCTTTTTTGCCCTTTCCATGTAACCTTCATTTCCCACACAAGTTATTTTCTTTTCTTCTTTCTTCTTTCTTTCCTTCTTCAAATAGTCTAAGTATTGTAATCCATCAAACAGTTGATTAAGATCCACTGGGACACTCCAAATTATAATCCAAAAAGGCCCACCAAATCACCAAGATAGTATTTATAATCCACTAGGGAACATCAGATTGTAATCCAAAATCTTTTCTGCAAATGTTCTCTTCCTTCTCCTTTTCTTTCTTTTGATCTTTTTTTTCCCCTTGTGGTAGTCTCTATATTATGATCCACCAAACTGTTAATTATAATCTGCAAAGGCCCACCAAAACCCCCTAATTATGTTCAACCAATTCCACGTTCCCAAGGAGAGGAGCAAAATTATAGTTCTTCAAGTGCAGCCACTTGTTTCTCAGTTCCAGTTGCACAGCTACTCAGTTGCTGGATACTGTATCTAATCCAAGAGCTAGAGTGTTTACAGTTTACACTGTTTCCATTCTTTCCTCTATACTTCGTTCTGTCAACAATTTCCAGGTGCAAACAGCTTATCTAAATCTTGTAACAATGTTCCAATAAGCTGTCTCAAGGTTAAGAATTCCACACACTCTCCATTAGTTTTCTCTATGGTTAGCTTTTCGCCAGCAGATGTCGCTGTTGTTCTTTTCCTCTCCTTAGGAATGAACACCGTTTTTCCTTCTTTTAGATATTCCAGAGTCTGAGTTTTATAATCCCAAATAAAGTTAGACTTCAATGAAGTCCGATTGACTGTCCTTTAAATTAGCCAATCTGATTTTCCTCTTTTGATACTGATATCCAAAGTTATCCACTTGCTTCAAATTTCTAAGTCGGATCTAGTTCCAGCTATATGCTTAACCACCGCTTTTCCAGGGTGGAAGATCGACAATCCAACTCCCCTCTTTTCGGCCCCATTCTTCTCAAACAGTTTTTAAATGGATAGATTTAGCAGAAGTTAGCAATTTTAAAGAGTCACCCAGTCATCACACTGTTCTTTCATTCACTCTTTCCACTCCATTCTCCTATGGGTGAGCAGTCACAGCCTTGGATGGCACTCAATGTCTGTCTTTTCTTTCCGACAGATTGAGAGCTTCCCTGCTTCTTCCAAGGAGTTAGCG